ATCCCAAATGAATTGGTTGAGTAGTTTTTGTGCTTCCTTGAAATATGTAGTTGGGAGGTGGATGGGCAAGGTTCTGAACAAGTATTGGAATTTGGGGATGATTATCATTTTTATGGCAGCTAGTCTGCCTGTCCATGAGAGGTATTTTTTTCGCCAGCTCGTTAATATGGTTCGGGTTTCCTTTAGGAGTTTTTGGTAGTTACCTTTATATAGGCCTAGGGTGGTGGGTGTGATGGTCAGTCCTAGGAAGGTGAGATTGTCTGATCTCCACTCAAAGTTGTATTGTTTGGTTAGAGGTGTATGTTGGGGTGTGTTTAGGCTTAGGGCTTGAGTCTTGGTTAGGTTGAGTTTATAATAGGAGCATCTGCTATATTCCTGTAGTAGTTGAAGAAATGTGGGGATAGAGCTGTGGGGGGTAGTAAGTGTGAGCAGAATATCGTCTGCGAACAGCGTGAGTTTTTGCTCGCGCGGTCCAATTTGAACCCCATGGATGTCTGGGTTTTCCCTGATTAGTGCCGTGAGTGGCTCTAGCTCCAAGACATATAGCATCGGGGAAAGGGGGCACCCCTGCCTGGAGCCATTCGAGATCTCGAACGGAGTGGATGTGAACCCTCCTCCCACCACTTTAGCGGTCGGGTTGCTGTATAGGGTTTTTACTATTGAGATAAACGTATCTGGGAATCCATATTTCTGCAGGACCGCCAGGAGGAAGGGCCAGTGTAGTCTGTCAAACGCTTTTTCGGCATCAAGTGAGAGAAATACACTGTGCTCCCTCCCCCGTAGGCTCTGTATTAGATTGATTACCTTGCGCGTTCCGTCGGCACCCTGCCGCCCTTTGATAAACCCCACTTGGTCTTGGTGGATAATCGCTGGGAGAATGTTAGCTAGTCTATTTGCATATATTTTAGCAATTATTTTTATGTCTGTATTTAACAGTGAGATCGGGCGTAGGTTTTGCCCTTTGTTTGGGATTTTGCCTGGTTTGGGGAGAGTCGTGATGTGTGCCATGAGCATATCTGCTGGCATTGTCCCTTGTGCGATCATCGTATTGTATGTTTGGAGTAGTTGTGGTGCCAATATGTTCGCGTATGTTTTATAGTAAAAATTTGGGAAACCATCTGGGCCTGGTGCTTTACCCGGGAGAAGTGACATTATTGTTTGGGTGATTTCTTGTTCTGAAATCGGGGTTTTCAGGGTTTCCGTATGGTGCTGGGGAATTTGCGGTAGGGATACCTTTGCCAGGAGGGATTGGATCTCAGACGTAGTGGGTTGGTGTGTTTGTGCGTCTGTTTTTAGATTGTAAAGCGTGGTGTAGTATTTGGCTAATTCATCCACTATGTTCTGTGGGTTGTACAGTTTTTTCCCCTCTGTGGTTAAGATGTATGGGATCTTATTTTGGGCGTATTTATGTCTTAGTTGTGTGGCAAGTAGTTTGCCTGTTTTGTTGTTCTGGGTGTAGTTTCGTGTTTTGAGTTTATGCATCATGTACGACGTTTTTGTCATTGCGATAATGTTCAGTTGATCTGTCAGATTCTCAATTTGTTTCATCAGGGTATCCGTAGGTTGTATATAGTGTTGTGCTGTGGCGTCTCTAAGATCTCTTAGGATCGTAATTTGTTCTTTTTGTGCTTGTTTTTTAAGGAACGATGCGCGGCTTAAGAGGAGCCTTCGCATGACTGATTTGTGAGCTTGCCAAATCATTATGGGCGAGGTTACCTTGTCATTATTTGTGGAGAAATATTCTGTGAGCTCTTTTTGGATGATATTGTGGAAGGTATCATTGTGCAGCAGGGATTCGTTCAATCTCCAGGGGGCATACCCTCTGGATGTAAACTGTGTTGCTATGGACATGACGTTGGGTGCATGGTCCGACCATACTATGTCTCCTATTTCACAGTGCAGTACTTTCCGGAGAAGTGGTCCAGTGGAGAGAATGTGATCTATTCTTGAGTGTGTTTTGTGGACTTGGGAATAGTGGGAGTACTGACGCTCTGTTGGGTGTAGGGCCCTCCATGTGTCGTAAAGGTTAAACTCCATTATTAGTTTCGTCATAGCTTGGCATTGTGGTTTGAGGTGATGTGTACGGGATTGTGAAGTAAGCAATGATGTGTCTAAAGTGTGGTCTAAAATGTGGTTTAAGTCTCCGCAGACCATTGTATTTTCGGTTTTGATGGGCTCGAGTTTTGAGAGGACTTTGTGGAGGAAATTTCTTTGTTGTGTGTTGGGGCTATATATGTTCACTATTGTGTACTTAACATCATTGATCATGCATAGGGCTATGAGAAACCTTCCCTGACCATCCGTGATCAGCTTGAGCAGCTCAAAGGAGAGGGATTTGTGGATAAGCAGGGAGACTCCTCTGGCTTTAGAGGTGTGTGCGGCGTGGAATTGTATGGGGTACTCGGCCAGGCCAAATTTGGGGATGCGGAGTTTTACAAAGTGTGTCTCCTGTATACATACTAGGTCTGCTTTGACCCGTTTGAGATCTTCCAGTAGTTTGTTGCGTTTGTGTGGAGTGTTGAGGCCCCTTGTATTGTGGGAGTAGATTTTCATGTTTGGGGTGGACTGTACCTGGGATAGGTGTTTCACTGCCATTTGTATGCGTGGTTGATGCCTACTTTCCCATTGGCTCTGAGGTTGAGGAGTATGAACTTGTTTTTGGAGGTGGTGATTGGAATATGTTCTGACTTTGTACTCTCATGGGTTAGGGGGTGAGGTTTGATGGGTACGGATGTGGGTGACGTAGGAAACTGGGAGGGGGGGTGGGAAGTTATATACAAAGTTCCCCGCCAAGGGGGAGTGGTGCAGTTTGGGTGCACCTTGGGGTTATCCGTATTGGTCATACGGTACTCGTGGCTACCTGGGCTCGTGGTAGCTTGTTGTGTGGTTTGGGAAGTCGTAACAGTTTTGTAACATTTAATATTAAACATTATTAGACATTATTAGAACAAAAGAAATAAGAGAAGAGAATAAAAGAGATACCAACATGCTTGTTATGAGCAGTACAAATGATACATGCATAAAAAGAAAAACCATGAGTAGACGAGCTCCACCTCTCCCCTCTCTCCCTGTGTGTGCTTAAGGTGAGCTGTTTTTTTTTTGTTGTTTTTTTTTGTCATAAAGGCTTCGTGACCTTTTGTCGTCTCGTGTCCCAGTTATCGTGTACCTATGTCCCCTCTGTAGTTCGAGGTTGTCCCCATATGTCATGGCCTCCCTCTCCCACCGGCTGGGTGGCCTGTGGGATTGGTGGTCATGGTGTGTTGCATGTGGCATAAGTGTTGTTTGGTAGGCTGGTGTGGGGAATAGAGGTTGTGGGTATAGGTGGGTTGGTGGGATGCTGTGGTTGCAATACTTGCGTGTCTGGCAACCTGACTAAGAGATATCGGGAATGGAGAGAAGGTAGTGCCCAGTCCCAGTCCTTAGGCTTTTTTCCAGTCCTGGGTTACTTTGGTAGATACAGGTAGGGGTGGCTGGCGTCCTGCTTGGGAAAGCTGTAGGCCCCATGCTTTTAGTGTCTTCATTCCATCTGCTGGCGTGGTCAGAGGGCTGAATTCGCCATTTCTCCACACAAGGAGTTTTGTGGGGTAGCCCCACCGGTACCTGATGTTGTGGTCCCTGAGAGTTGTTGTCACCTGCTGGAACGTTTTTCTTTTTTTCAGGGTCGCTTGGGATAGATCTGCGAAGATCCTGATGCCTGCAAATTCAGTTGGCAGGTGTGTTGTGCGGCTAGATTTCAATATTATTTCTTTTACATGGAAATAATGGGCGCGCAATAGCACGTCTCTCGGTGTGGATGGTGGCAGGTGTTTTGGTTTCGGGATCCTATGGACGCGGTCCAGAAGCAGCATATCGGAGGGGATGTCCGGTGCTATCACGTTGAAGAGGTCTCGAACGTATCTGGGTAAGTCGTCCTGGAGAATGGCCTCTGGTATCCCCCTTAAGCGGAGGTTGTTCCGCCTTGATCTGTCCTCTGCATCCATTAATTTTATTTCCATGGTTTCGATGGTGTGCTGTAAGTGGGAGACCTGTTCCGCCAGCTCATTGTGAGCTGTGGCGTATTCCGCCATTTTTGTTTCAGTGCGGGTAGTTCTTGCGCCCAGGTCTAGGATGTCCTTGCGGAGCGTGTCCACGCTGGAGGTCCATGACTGAATCAGTCGTGCTGACAGTGCCTCCATGGCTTCTTGTAGGTGCCGCTTGGTTAAGGCAGTGTTTAGGGTTGGTTCCCCTGTCTCAGGGGATGAGCTGCCCTCGTCCGAGGAGCCTCCGCCATCCCGGGTTGTTGCCTGCACGTGCAGAGCCGTTTGGCTGGGTTTCTGCGTGAAGAATTTAAGTTTTGCTTCTTTGGAAGCATTCTTCTTGTGCTTGCCCTGCGACATGCTTGCTCTGGCCGTGTTTAATTTGCGTTATCGTCTGAGAAAATGCTTATTGTTAGAGCCCATGTGCCGCAGCAAAATTTTAAGCGGCCATTTTGCTCGGCGGTTAGCCACGCCCCCGTTTTTCAAATTATTTAATATTTTGTATACACTTTTAATATTTTGGGATTAACTTTTAAAATGATCTGATTTTTTGAGGGGTGGAGCCTGGCCGCTGACCAAGCCAGACGTGCGCAACATGGGCTCTGACTACTGACACCCTATTATGGCGAAAAACCAGAGCAGAACACTTACCCGACCACAGAGCATACTCAAGCCTGTTCCAAACACACCGGTGATGCTGGGGATACCTCTCCGAAGTCTGTTCCGCCACTGGAAACCTTAACCCTAGGATCTGCGGCCTACCAGCGACCGGGTGGGGGAGAGATGGCAGCTCTCCTACTGCCTTGCCTGGTGGTAAGACGTTCCAACTAGGTCTCCCCCTCCCATGGACCGGCGGGGGTCATCCGGTCCCCCCGGCCAGCCCAGTGAACTCACGCTGTGTTCGGAAGACCGACTCCGGCCACGTTGAGATCCCGGCGGACACATCTAAGATGGCGGACGTGTCCCCAGATCAGGGGCGCGTGCTGCACGGGCATAAGCTGTCACCACCAAGCTCCACAGATGACATACTGCAGGGCCTAGACAGGGCATTTGAGCGATTCTGTCAGCAACTGGAAGCTAAAATGCTACCCTCACAGCCCAAGCCGTGGTGGAGCCTGCACAATGGCAGGAACCTCGGAGGCCCAGACCTCCCTGTGGGGAAATTATACCAAAACAGACCCCTCAAGCCTGGCACTAACCCACAGGAGTGAAGAGCCAAGACAGCTGCAGCCGGAATACTCATGCTACGGCGAAGGAAACCAGGTGCCCGCACTGAGCGCATAGCAACCAGGGTCCCTCGCGGTGCTTGGGAGAGGAGGGCACCGAACCAAGCGACAGACCTCCAAGCAAGCCGCAACGAGCACAGAGGGTGCTCTGATACATCGACCAGTTGCCGCTAAACCCAGGGACCCGCCCGCGATCCTGGGCAGAGGCAAAGGTTACAACAGCTGTACCCTACCAGAGCCCAGCAGACTGCCGCACATTGGTGTTGCCGCAGCTCCATCAACGGGAATCGGATAAAAGGATCTGGTCCAGGACCGACTCTTCTCTGCAGCCACGGACTCTAATAGTACACTGCCATACCGTTATTGCAGGGAAGGGCCAGAGATGGCTATGCCACAGCACGCTACATTCTCACATAGCATTTTGTTTTCTCAGATCTCTCTAGACTGACCTCCTTAGACCTAGCTCAGAGGCTATTCTATATTTTGTTTAGCGCACTGACTCCATGTCAGTGTATCGTGTATGGCACCCATACCAATGTTTACTCTCAACCCAATCTCATATAGAAGCAATGCACAAGACATGGGTCACAGTCACAACAGACACCTAAGCGTGGCCGTACTGCTAAGCTTACATACTCATAGCCTGCACACCCTTATCTGCACCTATCTATAAGCAAAAGGTGACCTGTCAACTTACTGACCAAGCTGCCTTAGACCGCTTATGTAAAAGACGTGGTATGCCTGGATTACACATGCCAATACTAGCCTAGACCAGCACTACTCAAGCCTGTTACTCTAGATATATCAACGTATACTTTGATTACAAAAATTGTGCATTGTTTACTTGATCCCCACTGTATCTATTGTCTTTGAAATCAGCATGTGGAATGCCGATGGGGCACCACAAGCATGTTTGTTCCAACCATATGCACAACAAAAAATAAAGAATTAAGAAAAAAAAAAGATTTGATTTTTTAAAAAATATTTTAATGTGTTATTATTTTGATAATTTTATTATATATATATTTTATTTTGATGTATTTTTATATTTTAATATTTTGAAAAAATAATTTTAAAAGTTTATTAAAAAAATATGAAATCATTTCAAAAGGTTATCCAAAATTCTTAAATCCAAAGTAAGACAAAACTACATATTTTGGTCCCCCAAGGTCAAGGTTAAGTTTATTTTTTTAATAGCTCATCCTTGATTAGTGATTTTTCAGAATTGTACCCACAAATGTCTAGCTTTTTTTTTTTACATTGGCATGACGGTGAAAAAAATATGTTGCATCTCGAAGACACACTCTAATGTCCTAATTAAATACATTTGCATTTTGACAGTTAATTTAAATAAATAACTTAAATACATCTTAAACCTAACACAGTGCTGGTCTCACAGTGAAAGCTTATCATCCTCTTTTGAGATTATCCTGACAGACGACCTCAGACCATTAGAATATTTCTGCGGATATTTGCATTCCCCATGTGTTGCACAGTCGTTTTTAAGTTTTCGAAATTAAGGTATATTTTTTTTACACTTGTGTTCTATTAAAATCCATTACAGATTGCAGTCACATTTTAACAGACATAGTCATTTTACAGCTAATAAATTCTTCAAACATTTATGACAATCTAATTATTTTACCTTTCTTTCTTTTTTCCATTCTTTAACTTCTGCATATACCCATAAAACAAAGTGAAAGTAATAAATGAAAAATACAAATCAAAATAAGCACAACAATAATACGTCTACGGTGTAACTGTGATCAGAATACCTGCTAGTGGTGCTATGGATTTGGGTTATTTAAGGAAATACAATTACATATAATAATTGATAATGTTACAATTATCTGTCCCACATTGGATTACTGGGCCCTCTCTGTTAAAGTATATAAAAAAAAATGTTGAACTCACTTTTTATCAAGCTCTGTCCCAGTCTCACCCTGGACTGCTATTCGTCATTACTGATGATCTTGTACTGTTGCAATGAATGCGTGTGCTGCAAATACCATACTTCACCAATCAGATACTTCTCTATGAGAAGCATTAACAGTGTTTTGCATGGCCAAACGTCAACACTTTCGATGATTGAAAAGTTTCAATGGGAAAGTGCCTTTGCAAGCTGTCTAACTAACTAATTTGTTTTCTGATTGACAGGCACTGTTGAAATTCTTAGTGGCAAATGCAAACTCTGACTGACAAATGCAAATCTCACATTTTTTTATTTACTTTTGTAAGAGTGCAGGGACAGGGTCTTTGCACGAAAACCACTAGTTTAAAATGTAGTGGTTTTGGTGACAATCTTAAAACACATTAAATTAAACCTACCTGCAAATGCTTTTAGTTGTTCTGTGAATGTCGGTAATTGTAAATTAAAAGGGAAACAGTTCAAATCTTACAAAAGTTGTAAAACCTTAAAACCTCCCAACTCCGGCGAGACTAGTGGGAGGGGAGTGAAATGTGGGAGCCAGCCTAATGTGAATGCACACAAGGCTGACTGCCAATCAGCCACGGGAGACCACTAGATGCAGGCGCTGCAGGGAGCATTTTTTGGGGGCTATCTTAGTACCCTGAACATAGCTTAAGCACATTTAATTTTGCTTTCACTATGCTAATTGGAAACAGTTCCCTGGTATCCCCAAAATCAGGAGTTCAGGAAACTATGTCGGGGCTGCAGAACACAACCTGGAAATCAGGAATGTCCCAATTAAATTAGGATGGCAGGGAAGCCTAGTATTGTGTATAACAGTGCTTTCTCTTGTGTAAGAGCATCGTTTGTGTTCTAACATCATCTGATCTGATCACATTTAAAATAGTATTTATTTATTTTTTACTAAGAATGGCTGATGGTTAACATTTTTCATATTCAATTCCTGTTAATTTTGCATTTCATTATAGCTTCACAAACAACCCTCAATTAGTTTATTCCATTGCATTATGATTGAATATCTGAGAGTGATTAAATATTTTAGAGGGATGCATTATGATTAAATATTATAGAGTAATGTATTACTTCCTATTTTCTAGTGTAATGAATCCAACAACGAACACGGGAGACATGGTGGTACATAATTCCCTACATACATGTTCATCTGAAACATCAAAGGATCAAGCCAAACATATTTTTGAAGAAATATAAAGCTAGAGTTCTTTGATCCATGGAATGGCCCTAGTCAGGTCTTTCCTTGATTTCTCTGTTTGCATATGGATAGTCGACTATTTGATCAATGCAGTTCCAAATAATTATCTAATTCACTTTCCAGGAACCCATAGAACATGTGCACCACACCTGAGGTATTTATAAGACTGTTGAACATATTGACCAGACTTCACCATTCTGTTCTCTAGCCTTCTTTCTTTATATCATTCTCTATCTTCTTAATTGCTTGACTTTTGAATTTTAACACAGATTTTTTTTTTTTGCCATTCGATAGCACTCTATTTGGTCCTTTTGGAAATCAATTAAGTAGAATTGCGCATTTGACTGTTTGTAGTTCATGGGCCAGACAAAAAAAACAACAACTTTGTGGGTCAAGCTCAAATCTAAATCTCTTGAACTAAATAGTTTTGACAAACCTTGGACATCTTGGACACCTTTTACTGGACACAATGACTTGGTCTCCTCTATGCTGCCATTTGTTGGCCATAATGTATGGGGCAGTAGAGGCCTGTACTGCTTCTTACATAAGATATGATAGATATGATAATTAACTTTCTCACTGTGGCCAACAAGTGGGAGCTGTACGGAAAGAAGGAATTGTCTTTGATTCACCAGGCCAGTTGAGGACATTGTCCGATCTTCTCAGTTGGCCCATGAATGATATCACTTTAGGCCCACCAGGCATTTGTTCAGTTTGCAAAATGACCAGTACCATTACAGAAAAACATAAAGTTAAGAATAAACTGTGTAGATCTGTAAATTTTGAGGGTTCACACTTTTAGCTTGCTTGTATATCCAGATGTGTATTAGACCAGAACCCTGTGATAGATTCTAATGAAGGAAAGCTATATTATTATATTCATAGTAATTTGATATTTGATACAAATAGTATGATACTGCACTATTGTTTAAATATCCAGGATAGAATCCAGTTTGGCTAGGTCTCTTCTAAAACAAGCCTCAAAGCTCCAAGATAAACAACCACTGAACTAAAATTAAACTTATATTATATTATTAAACTATAACAATCCATCAGAGAAGCGTGGTTGCGTATATTATAAAACGAGCGCTAAAGCATATCATAATATGTGGGTGTACCAGTATCCTCAAAATCAAAACACATATTCATCACACTGTCAGTAGAGGTACTATTATATTCCAGCTTACGGTATATAATTTCTGTGTGATCTGCACTTTAGTAATATTTAAATAAGAAAATTGCAATGTGTTTAGGCAATGTTATTATATTTTAAAAAAACACATTACCCTTTTAAAGTGATCTGCTTCATTCATAATTTTTTCTGTGACATTAAATGTCAAATATACATACTACATTGTCTTATGGTATTTTGTCTAAATATTCTTGATTTTTGATGTTTCTTATTTTACTGTCGCATAGACAAAATTTACGAGTTATACATTGTATGACATACAAGGGGTTGTTTGTAAAGGGCAGTTCTAGAACAAAATTCTAAAATGTGGTGCGATCAATAGGAACATTCTATCGGTTTGCACAGTGATTGCATTACTTTTAGATTTTTGTCCCACAATTGATTTTTCTATGTAACCCCCATAAAACCAGAGCTTACCAGTTTCCCAATTGATAACTCACTTCTCAATTCAGCATAGGATAATAAGCTGGGAATTCAGGGTGAATTAAAAATTAATTTCAAATTTAAGGTCAAAATGTCTGAACTGGACTTATTTTCTAAGTCAAATATGTTTTCACTTCAGCTACT